ACAATTAAATAAACAATATGAGTCTGCACTAAATATTCCGCCGCAGAAGAGTGGACAAAGAAGGAGGAAGAGAGGGAGAGGGAGAGGGAGAGAAACAACAAATCATTAAACAAACATTAAGCCACAAATAAACATTTGGCCACCACTCGAGAGAGACTCAGAGGCAGATCCGTGGAGAGATCCGTGGAGATCCATTCGTCACCGCCACTTGAGACATTTTTCTCTATTAAAAATAATATTTATGCATCTTCTGCTCTTCGCCACACAAAAACAGAGAGAGAGAGAGAGAGAGAGAGAGAGAGTGTGGCACGTTTGCTATTATTTCCAGGCCATTTCCCATGAACATGCCCCTGCCTCTGCCCCTGCCCCTGCCCCACGTAGCTGCTGCAGAATAATCCGTATCAGGGCCGATCCCTGATGCCGATGCTGCCTCTCGTGCCCCTCCTGCCACTGCCACTTGACTCGTTGTAATAACATGAGCATGTTGTTCTTGGACACTTGGCCACTGCCACTGCCACCGCTGGCTGGCCAAATGTGAAACCCGTTGTGAAAACGTGGCCTTTCCACTGGTGCTACGTGGCGGTGGTGCAACCCCGCCCGATATGGGTTTTCCCCCTCTTCCGTCTGTCGTTTTTGGGTCGGATATGATTTTCGTTTGGACAAAACCAATTCGACTCTTGGCCCGTTTTTTCCATTTGTCGCCCAGGTCTAATTTTGGGTCCACTCGAAGGGAAAGCTGCAGCAAGAGGCTGCCAAAAAACAATGGAATTTCCGGTACCCTGAAAGCCAGTTGCCTTTGCTTGGGCGTGGAAGGATCCAATGGATCCTTTGGAAGGGCTATCCTTGAGAAGTGATCGAAACGGGTGGCCAGAGGGCGGGGACATTGCCTTAACCCTGCCACCCGCCCCCGCCCGTCGGTAATCGATATCGGACGCAGGGAGCACGCGCGCGCCTGGCATTATTTCTCACGATTCCACCCGAACCGAACCAAACCGATCCGATCCGATCCGATCCGATCCGAGCCGATGCGATGCCTGCCCACATTTCGATATTGAATTTCAACGTTTATTTTTGGCGCTACCCTCCTGCCGCCTGCCGTCTGCCTCCTGCCTCCTGCCCATCAATCCTCAAGCGGTAATCAACAACAACAGCCGCACTTGGGCTCCAAGTTGGGCAGCAACAACCCCCATCAGCCATTTCCCATTTTCCTGCGTATTTACTTAATTATTTTCAAGTGCTTGGCAAACATTTGAACACGAAAAATGTTTCACTCCGAAAGCAGGGGCTCTTTCGGGGGTGCTACCAGAGTGTGGGGGGGGGGGGGAAGCACCCAGCACACACACACACAAAATGTTATTAATTAAAATGTCATTCATTCGGTAAATCAGAAACAATGAAAGGACTTTTCCATGGCATAGAAGCCCATGGAAGGCAACCATCAAAGGGGGTGGGGGAGGGGGGAAGGGCCAGCCTTGCAGCTGCTGTTGACAGTTTTTCCAAGCGGGGCAGCTTGTTGGTCTAAAGCTCCTCCACCCCTTTAAAGGGGATACCCGTCCAGCGGCAGCTGTGGACCACACGCAAGAAAAGGGGCTGCTGGGGGGCTGCTGGGGGGCTGTTGGGGGATGCTGAAACTGAGACACTCTGACCGCAAGAGCCACAAATATGTATGTCACTTGACACTTGCTTAAAACTGTGCTTGTGCCCGTGTATCTTGTAGATACATTTCGTGACTTTGAACAGAAGCTCTGCTTAAATTGCCCTTCACTCGAGCACTGGCTGTCCAGCTGTCAATTTGGGGTATCTCTCCCTGCCCCCTGACCCACCCCTCGTTTTAGGGTTTACCACAAACTGAGCTGAACTGCTGGGGATATCATGTCTTGTCTTGGATGTCCAGGTTACGGATAGCAGATAGCAGATAGCAGATAGCAGATACACGTACTCGCAGAAAACAAAAGAAAGGTGCCTGCTCCTGCTGCTCCTCCTCCTCCTCCTCCTCCTGCTGCTGCACCTCCTCCTCCTCCATTCGCACTGATGCTTCAAGTGAGCAATTGTCTTGAATTAATTTCTGCCTCATCACATCCCATTGCCCATTGCCCGTTGCCCATTCACTCATCCACTCATCCATCAGCAGCATTTCACACCCTTTTTCTGGGCAAACACTTTGATCAGCCATGGGATGCAGTTTACTCCACTCTCCATTTCCATTCCGGCTCTGACCAGCAGACGGCGTCAAATTTAATAAAAATCACTGATTTTGATTGATGCGCCTCCAGAGAGGGAGAGAGAGAGAGAGAGAGAGGGAGAGAGCTCCCTGCAAGGGTTGCAGCAGCCACGAGGCGGGCGGAGGGGGGCACTGGTTGACATGTGACATCGGACGACATGTCCAAGTGTTCGCCTCGACGCCGCTCAATTGAAACAAATGAAGCCCACGACAGAGAGAGGGAGGCAGAGAGCCCTCGCTCTCCACAGGAAAGAGGCATTTGGTGAACAACTTGTCGACGCCTCCTCCACCCAGGCCGCTCTCTGGTAGTGGAGAGCTTTGTGGTCTATAAATCAGTTGAGAGTTGGCCCTCGAATAGATCAGGTCTTGGAGCTAAGCACTCAAGGATACCCCTCCGAAGCCCGTACTAATTGTATCTCTGTATCTTTTGTCTTTGCAGCTAGGCCAGGCCGTTTGTCGAGCGTTGACGATTTGACGCTGACGCCAGAAGAGACGAAGAGAATCTGAGAGTCTGCTTTGCACACGCATTCATTTCCCCGCCAGCCCCTCCGCCAGAGAAGGGAAGAGAGAGTACGCCGAGTAGGAGCCACCCAGAGGAGCGCGAAAGAAGAACTCGACTGAGAAGCTTACAGAGAGCTCAGCGAAGCCACAGAGCAGAAGAGATGAAGTGCCAGAACCGAGTGGCAGGACTCGTCCTAGGGCTAGGACTGGTCCTCTGCCTCAGCTCTGGCGGCCGGGCCCTGCCGGACAGTCCGCAGCACAGTCCCGACCACGGCATGGGCATGGGCATGGGCATGGGCATGGGCTCCCACGGGATGGACGTGAGCCCCGCGCCGGGCGGCTACGGAGTGCCGGCCATACCGAAGGACCCGAACTCGCGCTGCGAGGAGATCACGATACCCATGTGCCGGGGCATCGGCTACAATATGACGTCGTTTCCCAACGAAATGAACCACGAGACGCAGGACGAGGCGGGCCTGGAGGTGCACCAGTTCTGGCCCCTGGTGGAGATCAAGTGCTCGCCGGACCTCAAGTTCTTCCTGTGCAGCATGTACACGCCGATCTGCCTGGAGGACTACCACAAGCCGCTGCCCGTCTGCCGCAGCGTCTGCGAGCGGGCCCGCTCCGGCTGCGCCCCCATCATGCAGCAGTACAGCTTCGAGTGGCCCGAGCGGATGGCCTGCGAGCACCTGCCGCTGCACGGCGACCCGGACAACCTGTGCATGGAGCAGCCCTCGTACACGGAGGCGGGCGGCAGCGGCGGCAGCAGCGGCGGCGGATCGGGCGGAGCCGGCAGCGGCTCGGGCGGATCGGGCGGCAAGCGCAAGCAGGGCGGCAGCTCCGGCGGCGGCGGCGGCGGCAGCTCGGGCGGATCGTCGACGTCGAGCAAGTGCCGCGGAAGGAATTCAAAAAACTGCCAAAATCCCCAAGGGGAAAAGGCAAGCGGAAAAGAGTGCGCGTGCTCGTGCCAGTCGCCGCTAATCTCCCTGGGGAAGGAGCAGCTCCTGCAGCAGTCGCCCATGCGGCACCATCACTGGTACATGAACCTGACTGTCCAAAGGATCGCCGGCGTTCCAAACTGCGCCATTCCGTGCAAGGGGCCGTTCTTCAGCAACGACGAAAAGGACTTCGCCGGCCTCTGGATCGCCCTGTGGTCGGGCCTGTGCTTCTGCAGCACCCTCATGACCCTAACCACATTCATCATCGACACCGAAAGGTTTAAGTACCCCGAGCGGCCCATTGTCTTCCTCTCGGCCTGCTACTTCATGGTGGCCGTCGGCTACCTGTCGCGCAACTTCCTGCAGAACGAGGAGATCGCCTGCGACGGCCACCTGCTCAAGGAGAGCTCCACCGGTCCGCACTCGTGCACGCTGGTCTTCCTGCTGACCTACTTCTTCGGCATGGCCTCCTCCATCTGGTGGGTGATCCTCAGCCTCACCTGGTTCCTGGCCGCCGGCCTCAAGTGGGGCAACGAGGCGATCACCAAGCACTCGCAGTACTTCCATCTGGCCGCCTGGCTCTTCCCCACCGTCCAGTCGGTGGCCGTGCTCCTGCTCTCCGCCGTCGACGGCGACCCCATTCTGGGCATCTGCTACGTGGGCAACCTCAATCCCGACCACCTGAAGAAGTTCGTGCTGGGCCCGCTCTTCGTCTACCTGGTGATCGGCACGACCTTCCTGATGGCCGGCTTCGTGTCGCTCTTCCGCATTCGATCGGTGATCAAGCAGCAGGGCGGCGTGGGCGCCGGCGTCAAGGCCGACAAGCTGGAGAAGCTGATGATCCGCATCGGCATCTTCTCGGTGCTGTACACGGTCCCGGCCACCATCGTGATCGGCTGCTATCTGTACGAGGCCGCCTACTTCGAGGATTGGATCAAGGCGCTGGCCTGTCCCTGCGCCCAGGTGAAGGGCCCCGGCCGGAAGCCCCTCTACTCGGTGCTGATGCTCAAGTACTTCATGGCCCTGGCCGTGGGCATCACCTCCGGCGTGTGGATCTGGTCCGGCAAGACTCTGGAGAGCTGGCGCCGCTTCTGGCGCCGCTTGTTCGGGGCGCCCGATCGCACTGGAGCCAATCAGGCGCTGATTAAGCAGCGTCCGCCCATTCCACACCCGTACGCCGGATCCGGGATGGGCATGCCCGTTGGCTCGGCGGCCGGATCGCTGCTGGCCACGCCCTACACACAGGCCGGCGGCGCCTCGGTGGCCAGCACCAGCCACCACCATCTGCACCACCATGTTCTCAAGCAGCCGGCGGCCAGCCACGTATGACATGGAGAGTCGGGAGGAGCTTCAACCATGGGCGGTGGTGGCGGCGGCGGCAGCACCATTGGCGGCGGCAGCGTGCTGGGCGGACACGGCACGGGCATGAGCAACAGTACGGTTGGCATGGGAGCTCCTCCTGGCAGCTTGATGCACGGCGGCGGCCCCAATGGCGGCGCCCCCGGCAATATCTACGGCAATGGCAATGGCGGTGTGGTGGGTGTGGGTGGCGGTGGCGGCGGCGGTGGACAGAGCACAGCCCCCGGTTCGGTGATTGACTCGAGGGCCGTGTCCGTCGTGGTGACACTGCCCGGCGGTCCCGGATCCCAGCATCCGGGGCAGGCGTTGAGCGACTACGGTCCCATATAGTTAATGGTACGCCCGGACACCACGCACTGGGTCTCGACGAGCAGCTTCAGTCAGCTGTAAGGATCCTTTCACTCACTCCTCACCCTCTCTGTCTCACTGTCTGTCTGTCTGTCTGTCTGTCTGTCTGTCTGTCACTCTCACACACGTATGTAGTCTCCTCGAACACACAGACACACACACACCCACACACTTTCTCTCTCTCGTTCGCAAAGAAAAAGAAAAAAAAAAGAAAGGTTTGAAGCAATTGCCATATTAATTCATGTAGCCTGTAGTTTGTTTTTTGTGGACGGAGGCAAAAGGAAAACGCAACAAAATGAGCAACATTCTGCATAAGATTCTAGTCCAAAGACCTTTGTCATCGATATAGCCGATAACCGAAAGGAGATAGTCGATGGTCGATAGCCAGCGATAGCCAGCGATAGCAGACGAGAGCAGCGTGAACGAAGAGAAACCGAAGCAGAAACGGAAACAGAAACAGAAAGTCGAGCCAAAACGAAGATCAAATCCAGAACCAGTCGCGCGGTCTGTTCCATCCCTACCATAGTCGAAAACTACTTTCCTATTCCTAATTATTTATACACAAGCCTTTCTTCTGGCCCATCCCATCCACGAACACTTTCTTCAACGAAATAGACTGAGAAATGCAAAGAACAGCAACAAAAAAACAATTTAGAAGGAACATACGATACGATACGATGCGGGGGCGAATGATTGGAACGATGGAATGGAGAATTTCGAGTAGTAGCACACTCTGCCCCACACACACACACACACACACACAAACACTGCCAAGTCAGAGCCACGAGCCATATTTCGAAATTACAACTAACTTTTAATCAAACTAACTAAACTATTAACCTTAACCTAAACACAGAAACGTAAACGTAAACTAAAACTAAATGAAAAACAAAAAACAAAAAACAAAAACAAAAACAGATAAAACCCTTTCGAATGAACGTAGAAATACATATTAAAAATAATGTCGCGATTTCAGGGTTGTCGCATTATCAAAGAGCGTGGGCAAAAGCGCAACAGTGTTGCCAGATACCATTTGTAAATTATTTAATCTAACCCTTAAGCCATTACCCAACACTAGATTTTGTACATAGTATTTTTTTTTTTCGAAAAACGCCGCATAGTTTGTAAACGAAACATTTTTTTTGTGACGAGAAGAGACGAGTCGTTGAGATACGATACGATACGAGATGAGATGAGATGAGACGCATGAATCCCTGAAACTAAAATAGAAATTGCATTTCAAGCATCAAAAGCAACTCTGCATTTAAGCTCAAAAATTGAATTTAATTTTTACAACAACCCACAGCCCCAGCCACAGCCCCGTTTACCCCTTAAAAATACATATATATCTATATATATATATATATACAAATTGCCAATATTTGCAGCCGAAAGCAGGGCATTTTTTTGCATTTAAAAAAGCAAGCAAAAATAAAAATTGTATAAAGCTAAACATTTATATATCTAAGAGTATTAAAATTAAATTGTAATCTTAGTCGTAAACGAAACGGAAGAAAAAATAAGAAAAAAGGAAAAGCAAAAGCAAACAAAAATATATCTATCAAGCATTAAAAACTATTGTATTTAAACTTAATATTTATATATACATACATATATATTATTGCATACAATACATGTATATTTGTATGTGTAATTTTATGGTAAAAGCGACAATTTAACTGTTGGCATTTCAAACCATTTCACATACGAAACAAAAGGAAGGAAACATGGAAGGAAGGACGGAAGGAGACGTTTAAATTACGAGTATAAATTATATGATATAGCAACAACTACAATATGTATGTGTGTAATGTTTTTTTTTAGCAACTATAACTATAACTATATCCATAAACAAGAGGAAAAATATGCAAAAGCTGTAATAAAAACCACAAAAAAAAACACATAAAAATACTTAAGTTTTCAGTTTGTTTTTCCATTGATTTCAGTTCAGTTTCTTATGCATGAAAAGTAAGTAAATTTGTTCTTTCAGCTTTGCCTTATTCGTTATTTGTTTTTGTTATTACTTCTCGTTTGGATTGTTATTGATTTTTAGCATTTACAAGAGAATCCCTCGACACTTATACGTATCATTAAAACGAAGCTCTCCAAGTTAAGCAAACAAAAGCGCAGAAACCAAAACCAAAACCAAAACCAAACACAAAAAAAACAAAAAAACGAGTAAACATTAATTAGCAAATTTCTCTACACGACGTATGTATAATGTTTAATATACATATTATAAATATTGAACACGACGGAGGACGGATCCATAGCATTACCAGATACCAAATTTATGCGTACTATTTGATGTTGTTAATAAGCTTAAAGAAATATTGCTAGCTAGTAGCGTTTAGTTTAGTTTTAGTTTTAGTTTAGTTTCCTGGGAACTCGGGGCCTCCCATTGGACGCTTTTTCCCACTTTAGTTTGAGGCGTAAATAGCAAACGCTTTTATCTATTAATAAATACAACAACAACAAACAAATACAAAAATATTAAAGGCTAAAGAGTGTAACGAATATACGTAAATGGTATAAAAACCAAACCAAATGAAATGTAAGGCAGAATGTAAAAAATAATTCATGCAAATATTATTCAGTTTAAGCGACTCGACTCGAAACAGTTTCCGTTGATTTTTTGTGATTGAAAATTCATTTACTAAATTGATGAACCGATGAAATTGATTGCAATTTGCGAATGTATACGATTTTTTAATTTTAATAAAAAGGCAACCTATAAGCGAAAATATTTCACACTGGCGTGGATTTTAAAGCAAGGATAATGCTGAGCGGAAGGGATAGAAGGATAGGAATAGGAGGAACGGTGATTGATCGATTAGTTGAAGTTACACAGAAACCAGAAACTTGACGTCAAGTGTAGTTGTGAATTGTATTTTGTGAAATGTTTAATAATAAATAAAAACCAAAAAACCCAAAAAACCAAAAAAAAACCAAAAACAAATTCTATATACAAAACGAAAAGCATTTTAAAGATACAATATATAAATCAAAACCAGCACGAAGCGATGTTGTAAATTGACAACACCAGCAACAACAACACCAACAACAATACGAAAAGTCGAGTATCAAATGCGTTAACACAACCGAATATACGAAACAGCAGCAGCAGCAACAACAAACAACAATAATATTAAATACATTTGTAATTGAAAAAGAAAAACCATTTAAAATAAAATTTAACAGCATAAGATGTGCAGTTTCTTTTTACGACAATGGGCCCAGAAATCAATTGATTGCCTCAAATGGCCAGTCAGCGGATGGCCCTGGTCAGCGGATGGATGGAATGGAATGGATAATGGGGGAAGCTGGAGCTAGAGACGTTTCAATCAAGGGGGCCTTTCTCTGTACGCTGTGTATGTGGGGGCTATTCAGATGCCAATCTGGCCGGGGCATGTATTTTCGTGAGCCTTAGATAGGCAATCCTGATTGTCCTTGATGCCTTCAAGCGATCGGAAATACTCGCGACTGCGAGGAAGCGTGGCTTGCCCCGATAGGAGGGTAAATGCAGGAGCTATGCAGTACGCAGTGAATCATATTTATCGGAGAAAATCGTCTCCCAGGACCGTGACGCTGCCGACTGTCAATCGGCATCAAAATCTCGACCTCGAAAATGAGGCCGATTTTTGGCAATTTTAATGATGTAACCATCATGATTTTTTGCGAAAATCGTGATGAAATGAATGTCCTTATTTCCGATGACAGTCGATTGGCAGGACTCGCCCCATCCCGAAAAGACATGCCGCACGCCGATCGGCCGCTGTATTGCAGAGATATAGCGTGCAGAAGATACCAGTATCTCAAAGATACACAAATCCAACTCTTCGGAATGCTATATTTCAGTCAAATAGGGCCAGATCGGGGGAGGACCTACTCTCCCAGGATCGTGATCGTCCAGACTGTCGATCGGCATCAAAATCTCGACCTCGAAAATGAGGCCGATTTTTGGCAATTTTAATGATGTAACCATCATGATTTTTTGCGAAAATCGTTATGAAACGGATGTCCTTTTTTCCGATGACAGTCGATTGGCAGGACTCGCCCCATCCCGAAAAGACATGCCGCACGCCGATCGGCCGCTGTATTGCAGAGATATAGCGTGCAGAAGATACCAGTATCTCAAAGATACACAAATCCAACTCTTCGGAATGCTATATTTCAGTCAAATAGGGCCAGATCGGGGGAGGACCTACTCTCCCAGGATCGTGATCGTCCAGACTGTCGATCGGCATCAAAATCTCGACCTCGAAAATGAGGCCGATTTTTGGCAATTTTAATGATGTAACCATCATGATTTTTTGCGAAAATCGTGATGAAATGAATGTCCTTATTTCCGATGACAGTCGATTGGCAGGACTCGCCCCATCCCGAAAAGACATGCCACACGCCGATCGGCCGCTGTATTGCAGAGATATAGCGTGCAGAAGAGACCAGTATCTCAAAGATACGCAAATCCAACTCTTCGGAATGCTATATTTCTGTCAAATAGGGCCAGATCGGGGGAGGACCTACACTCCCAGGATCGTGAGGATCCAGACTGTCGATCGGCGTCAAAATCTCGACATCGAAAATGATGCCGATTTTTGGGAATTTTAATGATGTAACCATCATGATTTTTTGCGAAAATCGTTATGAAACGGATGTCCTTATTTCCGATGACAGTCGATTGGCAGGACTCGCCCCATCCCGAAAAGACATGCCGCACGCCGATCGGCCGCTGTATTGCAGAGATATAGCGTGCAGAAGATACCAGTATCTCAAAGATACGCAAATCCAACTCTTCGGAATGCTATATTTCAGGCAAATAGGGCCAGATCGGGGGAGGACCTACTCTCCCAGGATCGTGATCGTCCAGACTGTCGATCGGCATCAAAATCTCGACCTCGAAAATGAGGCCGATTTTTGGCAATTTCAATGATGTAACCATCATGATTTTTTGCGAAAATCGTGATGAAATGAATGTCCTTATTTCCGATGACAGTCGATTGGCAGGACTCGCCCCATCCCGAAAAGACATGCCACACGCCGATCGGCCGCTGTATTGCAGAGATATAGCGTGCAGAAGATACCAGTATCTCAAAGATACGCAAATCCAACTCTT